AGTAGGTGAATTGAAACGCAGCCTCAGGTTTTTTTTTTTTGGTTTTTTTTTAAGGGTTATTCTAATGAGTAATCTGAGGTTGAATTATTTTATAGCCATCCGTCCATCCACACCAACCTTGTCTTTAGTAATTATTATATTACATGCCTGACACGTTGAGGGTGAACACACAGACTGGAATGGTGTATTGAACGTTATGTACCCTCATTCAGTCTTTTTCTTAAACAGTCAGCAACTGAACACCACATTTGCTGAACTAGAAGATTTAAAGATCTGTTTTAGCGTGTATTACCATGCTCTATATCTGTAAGGTAAACTGCAGTTACACTGGGGTTTCGTTTGAGTGCCACGAGTACGCAGAGACTGTACAGCACCATCCCAAATACTGGAATTTCTTCTAGCAGTTAACGTTTAAAGTCGAGCTGCAGCCATTTTAAAGCTTCATGTCGAATGTGAGAATTTACCGAATTTGACTTCATGACAGTGGTCACGTGATCTTGTTTTCGTGTTTCTTACTGTGACATTCTCACTGTGTTATCCATCATACACTGTGAGTCTACATCAGGTTTAAGAGGTTTAACAGGTATAACACACTCCTGTATAAAAGTGGATAAAGGGATGTCAGAGGGCTAGACGCAATAGTAGCAGCCATCGCTTTTTCACACAAGCATCAGACTCAGGAAGGAGGTGTAGCTTTTTAAAGCCTGGACTGTAGAATTGTGCTTCAGATGTTGCTCTGGTTCCAAATGGATGTTTATGTTTGTATTTTTGAATACATTCTTAATTCTGCCACGATGCTTGTATGAAACTGTTTATGTACAAATGATGATGGTGAGCCAGATGATATCCTGTGGTGATGGTGAATTAGGCATGCAGTTTGGCTGTTGACCAGCTTGAGGCTGTAAACTTCTCTTATATAGCTACATTAGGCTCGTATAAAACTTAAAAAAAAAAAAAAAAAAAAAAATCCAGCTTCAGAACCAAAAATATCTTGGCTGTAAGATCTCATAATGTTTGGTTATTAGAGCTAAAAATAAAATAACAAAATGGCCACCAGTTTACAGTTAGTGTAATTAAGTTGCTTGTTTTGCAACACCACCATTCGTCTCAGTACTTTACCACGTTTCACTGAAATCTCCTTCGCTTTTCTCTCCTCCCTTCATTTCTGCTCTCTTCCACCAGTTGTCGTTCTAGGCTGCCGGTTGGGGCATTTGCACACGGCTGGTAAGTTCACACTTAATCATTTTACATCTGTAGACGTGTTCCTTAGTTGCAGGTCTGTCGGCCATGCTGCTTTTCCACACTCGCACAGTGAGCAGGATTATGGGATTCGCCAGCTCATAAAGGGAAGCACTTTGACGTTTCGTCATATTCTTCCAAAACAGGGACTTTTAGAAGACGGAAGTCTTCGCGCCACCTCCTGAATGGGACAGGCTTTGTCTCGGGGGAACAAATGGAAGTTGATGCTGTCCAAGCATAAATGTCATGCACAAAAGTGTTAGTGCAGGTATAGTTCTAGCGCAGCACCGTATGACACCACACCGCATTGTTATGAAGCTAAAATAGTGTCCCTCAAACGACAAGGAAAGGCACAGGGAACAGGTAGAGAGCCTTGTGCAGTGGCGAGAGTGCGTGTACCGTTAAACAACATCAAGTCAGGTTTTGACGTTAGAGTCATGGCTGGATAGTGTTCTCTGCAGTCTAACATATGGGTTGCGTCGGAGCCTCATTCACTAGGCTTGGTAGCTAATATAATGGAATAATATATGGCGTGCTGTATATCTATATGTATATATCTATGTATCTGTATATATATGCACACATACAAATAAGTGTGTATAATGTTTGTGTGTGTGTACATTCACACACATGTATGTGTGTTTGTGTGTATATGTATATATAATATATATAATGTGCATGTGTGTGTATATAACAAAATATTTTATCTTGAAATATATATAAAATATATATTAAATATTGTGTGTTACATTTAATATTGTATTGATATATATTATTTAAAATGATATTAACAAAATATTTAGTGTAACACATTGTGTTTGCATTGTGTTGACCTTAACAAAAGGTCAGTAAATTCTTAGCCATCACGCGTTCTCTTCTAACATCACACGTAAAATATATTATTCATGTCCGGCTAGTGTCTATATTTCCTCTCAATATTTGTTTTTTAACTGTGATGTGAATTTTTTTATTTTTTTTTTTTAATGCAGGCGACCTGTAGCCCCCCCCCCCCCACATTATTTCCACATTATTTCCACATTATTTCCACATTATTTCCACATTTTCCTGATTCTGAAATGATTATCCATCATCCCTGAAGTAAAAACCAATAAACTCGATAAAACACTTTGAAAGTTACTGAAACTCCCTCGTGCATAGTCATCTAACCTGCTGAGACTTTGTAACGGTCAGGATGCTTAGCAGCGAAAGCGTTTATCACTGTTTTTATTTATTTATTTATTTATTTTTGACTACCTGCTTCAAAAGCAAGGTAAGTAAACGCATGTCCAAACTTTGCTCCTAAAACCCGTCTTTTCCACAAGTTCACTTTGTGAGATAATCACTTAGGCAGACAGTGTGTGTTTGTGCTCCCACGTTTCAAAACTCCCAGTTAGGAAGGCAGAATAAGGACAGCGGTTGTGTAGAATCATGCGTCTCTGCTGGACAGCGTGGCTCGGCTCTGCGGTTTATCTTCAGCTCAGCATGCTCGCAGTTTCCACTACCAAGCAAGCAGTGCCGTGCTTTAGTATCCATGCTGATTCTGGTTTCGCTTCTTATTCAGGTAGCATGCGAGTCGCGCTGGGATAAATGGGCGAAGATGAGAATAGTACAGACCATCCTGATTAGTGTCTCTGCCTAGAGTTGCTTATCTACCAGCACAGACGACTTCAGTAGTAGCTAGTGTAATGTTTCCTCCTGTTTCCAAAAGCCCTTTCTTCTGGTGTCTTTAAGACGCCAGTCATTTAAATAACTTGAACATTTTAAGCAGCAGTTTAGTGTTTCACCACATTTGTATTCATTTATCCACAGTAAGGTGTTTCTACATCTTCTAGTTGAGCCAAATCCCAAATATCTTCCTCCTGACTCTGTTTGCGCTTTACATAGCATAGAACATAATGGACCTGAGGGCCATACCTAGTGCACTCGCAAATAGTGCACAAAAACAATTGAGAGTTGGCACTAGACAATACACAACTCCTTGTTTTTGTGTGTGTGTGTTTATTTTATATTTGTTAGCAGATAATATTTGCACTCAAACTCCTCTGTATTGTCACTAAGCTGGACAGCCATTAAGTAAAAGTTTAAACATTAAAGTTTTGTCATAATCGTGTGTTATGATGTAAGCATGCGCTGTGTCTCATGATTACATTCACTCCACGAGCAAGAAATGCAGCAGCACCACACACATTTATATCAAGTTTCATTTAAAAATCATTTCTTTGAATTTCAAGAATTTTGCTACGTAGACCTATCAAGTCACCACCTGATAACCTCCAGATATATTCCTCCTGCTTTCACAGGTAGAGCTATGTGATGGGAATGCGATACACACACTTGGCCGTGACACGGATAGTCCTGGGTTCTCGTCTGATGCTGAGCTCTGGCGCAGTTTGCTGGAGAAGCCTGATAAAACCTTAGTTTAGTGGAAGCACTGCGCATTGAGACGTCTAATATTTTAAAAGTCAATATTTGTAGCTACTTAGTTAGATGTGCAATGCATCCTGGGGGTTTAAGGTACGTCGTTCCACTTAAGGATTTAAGGTACACTGTGCAGTGTTGGAAAAATCCCAGATTAGTGCACAACATATTGAGACGAGCTTGATTTGAGACACAGCCCATGCTTTCAGTAGCAAAACCCGCAGCTTGGGAATCAATATGTTGTGTTGCATTGTGGGATCGAGCCGCCATGTTGTCTGCGTGGACTCCATGTTCAGTTTTCTTCACCTAAATCAGTGGTTTGGTTGTGACAAACACTGCATGACATGATGAGGGAGAACATGTAGAATTTTATATGGATAAACCTTTCAAGGAGGGAAAAGCCTGACATTTTGGTGGGGAAAAAAAAATCAGTCTAATTAGCGTTACAAATCTCCAAACACTTAGCAGACTAATGATACAGAAGCACAACTTCTTCATGCCTAATTTTTTTTTTCTAATTTAATATTTTGTGTGTGGTTTAAGCACTTATTATTTTTTAAAAGCAATTTAAGTTATGTTTCACAAATGGATGAGTAACTGTGTGATGTATATTCATTACATCTTACATTTTCCTCAGGTCTTCAGGCAATCCATAGTCACCTGACTGACAGGAGAATGAATATTAAAATCGGCGAATGAGAGTAACAAAGCTTTGAAAGTGATAGCGCTCTTATTCAGACCTGCACTCTGTTTCTCCTGCGATACAATTAACGCTCTAGCACCTCAACACGCACGATCTTCACTCATCTGTTAACGCAGGCATTACACTCTCAGACTGTGTAAAAAAAAATATAAATAACTGTGTAATAATATAAACAGAGATAGAGTGACTGAACGAGAACGAACTTGTGTGTATGCGAGAGAGACGGAGAGAGTGTGAATAGGACACGATATATAACATGCTCGCAAAAGTAATTCATTCATTTAAAGTAAATAATAGTGAGGCATAGGAAGAATAATACTGGGAGTAGCTCTGATAGGATTCATTATGCTGTAAAATGTGATGTTTTTACGTCTGATTGCTGAAATCCAAGCCGTTTGATGGCTATCACCACAGAGACATTGAGAGCGAGAGAGCGAGCTCACTCCACACAGGAAAACTGTTAAAAAAAAAAGAAAAATTCCACATTTAAAAAAGAAACTGTGTCTATATTGTTGGTAGTAAATAACTTGGTAGATAAGGTTGATGTCTTACATAATGAGTATGGTGGATCACTGAGGCATGGCCTCATGTTCCTAATCCATATGTATAAATTTACGGAAGTTACTCAGTACATTGCCGGTCCCTGGAGGAATAGTGGTTAGGCTTCAGCGCTCTCACCGCTGTACCCGGGTTCGATTCCTGACCAGGGAACCGCACAAGACACTGAACTCGCGGTGCTGGTCCCAGGCCCGGTTAAAAATTGGGGAGTGGGGGTTGTGTCAGGAAGGGCATCCGGCGTAAAAACTGTGCCAAATCAAATATGCGGACCAATGATCCGCTGTGGCGACCCCTAACGGGAGCAGCCGAAAGAACAACTCAGTATGTACAAGGTCACTTACTTGACTGTTGCAGTTGTGTGCATGTTCTATAGTTGGCCTAAAGGAGCAGATTTGTGCTATTAAACACCAGAAATTGGTTCAGCTCCTCCTAATAAGGGTTTTATCCCTGACTAAAAAAAGCTAGATATAAGGATGTAATGTTTCGTAGGCTTCAACAGCTCCAGGAGATGTGTAGGTATTGGAGATGATCCGAAAATACAATGAACACAGTGTGCTTTTGGTTACTGTGTAGATGGATGAGCCAAGAGATCGTTTCACAGTGCCAGGCTTTCTCCTTCTTTTCCTTCATAATATCACTAAACTCACAGCTTGTCTTTCATAGACTTGCCCCCCTAGTATCTGAGCATTTCTTCTTGCTATCTAACCTCCATCATCTCTTTTTTTTGTGTGTGCGGTTGCACCTCAGATTGCAGCTTTATTTCCCACTCACTCAGGTTTTAGACGTGAGACGTGTAGGTTTATGTAGTGTTTTATTAACGTTATGAACAGCCTACAAGGAGAAAACACTACGAATTTTTCAGCCTTCATCATAACTCTAAAGCAAGTGCTCTGTTCGGTGGAAATGAGTCAGAAGAGTTGAAATTGGGGAGATCTTGAAATCCGACAGCTCTAAACAGCTCCTCCCAGGAAGTTGTTATCAGGGTTTTCTCTAGGTTTTCAGAGGGTTTAGGTGCTGTCTGGGTTCCGGGGTGACGGTGGTGGTGGTTGTGGGGTTTGAAACTATTCGAAGGAAATTTTTTTTTATGTTGTTTTCGACCGTTATCCTTACCATATTTGTGAAAGAAAGCTGGCAACACTCGTTGCCTTTATTTGAAGCAGTCAGCACCTTGAACACAGCCTAACTATGTTTAGCTACCAAGCCACGTTAGATACTAACGTTAGTTCAGTCGAGGTATCTTTATGTAACATCAGCTAACTAGCTTTGCTGACTAACGTAACTCAATTCGGTACGTGAATATCTGTGTAAGTTAGCTAGGTAAAGCAATTCTTTAGTTGTAAAATAGGCTGCATTAGTTATATCTTTTCTTTATTGGCTATCATGATTGTTTACATCTACAAGAATAACTTCCTAACAAAAAAAAAAAAAAAGATGGCTTGCAACTTGCTTATCTGAGTAACAACCATCCCGAGTTGACGGTACAGAGAAATATCCAATCAGCTGTTTGATTAGCTTGGCAATGAGCATCCGTCACACACCAATCACAACAAACGTTCGTGCAAAAACAGTGATTGTTGATTGGCAGGTCATTCTTGTTGGCAGCTTACCTTTCCGTTTCAGATCAAGCCACCTCCCTGTTTTTTTTTTTGTTTTTTTTTTGTAAGCACATAGAACTCTCAATATTGCTTATGTTGCCTAAAAGCCTTTTTACGTTCATTTGGCTTAAGGCACACCGCAAAAACACTTAGGCGCTGTGCTAAGCCTTTCTATGGTAGAGAAAACCCTGGTTATAACAAATGGTGACCATCATGGTGTCTGATGTATTGCACACAATACTTTTTCTGTAGTGTTTAGAGGACATTGTATAAACCAGGGTTGCATAAATACCTTTTTTTTTGGTCCTTGTTGATACTAATAACGAAATGAGTAACCTAGTTTGTATTAATCAGTCAGGGGCATCGTGGAACGTGTCATTTAGCTTTGTTTAGGTTTTCCCTGTTTACGTAGTGGCCATGAAAAGTGCTCAGGCTGCTAGGCTCGTTCTTTATAAGTTAGCTAGTTGATTTTTAAAAAGTGCATTAGCTAGCTATATTAGTTAACTTAGATCGAGTAGAGTTGCAGTGGAGAAGAACAGGTTTTGTTTCACTTCTCAAACAAGCGCTTCTGTACAGCTGTAAAGCAAATAAAGTACATTTTGTTGTTTTTTTTTTTGTTATTACGTCAGAGTCAGTTGTGGTCAGTTATTGGTAGTGGCTGATCGTCAAGAGTAACACACTGGATGATGAAGAGATTATTATTCACTCGCGTTGCGTTGTCTGTAGACGTCGTTTCTTGCCCAGCCGGCGTTTGATTCAGCGTCAGTTGCTGGTGTGTGCTGCTACTCATCGTGTTAGTTTTATCTTTAAGATGTTTTACAGGTTACTTGTATTGTACGAAGATGCCCTATTTTCACACAGCACAGTTTGCAGTCCGCATTGCTGTGATCATTAATCATTAAATACGTCGGGATCGCTGTCACTTCGTGTCATCTGTTTGTCAGCATGACAGTGTAACAGTGTACATTACACAGTTTCATAGGAGGTATAGGAGCATTTATTTTCTTTTGAGTCAATACCACAGTGTCAGACGAGTCCGCTATACCAGTGTTGGTATCAGTGGATCCATAGTATAAAGCAATGTGGTGTTGTTCCTTCTGTTTTTTTTCTTCAAGTCTCCAAATCATGGCAGACTTTTCTGTTCTTACTGTAGCTGACATGATCATGATCTCAACCCTGCTCCTGGACTACCCCCTGTCCTGCTCCCAACACAACATTTCAACCAATCAGCTAATTAAAAGCCCTTTCTGCTCTTCCTTTTAGTGTTTTTCCATTCAAAATGTCGAGCTCATAGCTAGAGCCAGCTGACGCAGCTGAGGAACGCTATTCAGACTTTTAAAGCTTTTGAGCCTGTCACTTAGCTTCTGATATGCTAAGTAGAGAATAATGTGAAAGCTGTTAAATGAGTATGACTACGTAAATCAAGCCTCTGATTCTGAAATCCCGCCCATGTCTGTACCTATGACGAATGTAAGACAGTTTACTAGCAGTTATAGTGAGCCAACTAGATATTTGGCATGGGTGGAGGACATTGGTGGCATTTCTGAAGTTGCACGTTAATAGACCCTGGCATTTGTAACGATCATAGTAAAGGTTTAAAGCTGCTCCTAGGCCATTTTCAGTGCTTTATTACTAATAGGGATGTGCTTTCTGCCTAATTTTAATATTGAATCATCCATAAGAGCTAATGAAACATAATGAAAATTAATATGCCTCAACCAAGTATTTTTTTTCTACTGTAAGCAAACTTTGTGTGTATGTGGCGAGTTTGTGTTTGACAGACATAATGCTGAGAAATAAAGAACAAAAGCTTTACTGTGCCAGGTCATTGTTTCAGCCTGTAGAGTTTAGGAATGAAACTATAACTGGATTCGGTGATGATGCATGATTATGTAAATGAGTTAATACGGATATTTGCGTGTTGCGTTTAATTAAAAAAAAAAAAAAAAAAAAGCAGTGAATGAAAACGCAAGCGATTGTTCTGTGTGAGTGTAAAATGAAAAGTGGAGCATATTGGCTGAATCTGTAAAACCAGCGTACCGGATTTGTGTCCGCTGTAGTGAAATATTTTTGAGCTGTACTGAGCTTTATTGTAAACGTCTTATCTCTGTTTTGTCCTGCGAGCTGAGCCGAGACCGCGTGCCCCACCTCTAACTTGCGCGCCACAACAGTGCTGCTCTCTGCATCAAATTACTGCCATACGCAGCTTTTCTTTTTTCATATCTCACTGACTTCATATGGATGCAGGGCATAACAAATACCCGAATAGCGCTTTTAGGATTTAAATACAGGCACTTTGAAAGGTTACTCAGGTATTTGAATAGATGTGCACGTTCATAATTAACAATTCGTCGACCTGATTCATCACACTCAACTCAATGCGTTATTTTCTCGCTATACATGTTCTCTCTCTTTCTCACACACACTTTCTCAGCCTGGCCTTTAGTAAAGCCGCGTGTGGTATCACAGATGATGTGAATTATTTGAGCGATGGCAGAAGGATGAGCGCTAATTAATCTCTTTGAGTTCCAGGAATATTGCACGTGCACCATTTATAACACTCGTCTTCCCCTTCCTGTCTGTCTCTGTAGTGAATGGTAGTGTCTATAAAGGGTATGTCCCTTCAGGAGAGAGGTGCCAATGTCCATCAGGATTAATCACACTGCAGGGGGGTCACTGCGCCGATCACAGAGGAACACACTCGCCACCAGGTCTGTACACTCACTCACACACACACCAGTGTGTGCCTGAGCATTTTTTCATCTTTTGAATGGCTGTATGTTTTTACTCAAATTATTACTTGTTAGAAAGAGGCATGTGTAGTAATGTGTCATGATATCAGGGTGTACTATTGTAATTGTCGATACCAGAAGGATACTTTGGCCAAGAAAGAATGAATAAATGAAATGAAATGAAATGAAGAAAGCACTAGTGGAAGTTATTAAACACCCAAAATTTAAATTGCTGACACCTATAATTATAATTTATTTCTTTCAAATAATGTAAAGCTCTTGTGTTTAATAAAACAAATAAACAAATCATAAAATCTTGTGGATTAGAGCAACATAAGGCTGATCAAATGCCTAGCATCATAAGTTCTCTTCAGATATGCACAAAAATATTGCTGTATTTGTAGTTATAGCCCAATACTGTACGACACCAGAGTGCACCATTATGAAGCTAAAAGCAGCGTTCATTAAATGGTGTTTAAAGGCGCAGGGTGCCTATACTTTTAAACAGCATCCGTTCATAATTTGAGGTTACAGTGTTTTTTCATGTTTAACACCTCTGTTTTTAACATCATTTTTTTATGCTTTAAAATTAGGTGATTTTTTTATAATAGCCAGTCATAATAGTCATGTATACTGCTAGCACTTAGCACTAAACTGTTAAGGTCGGGGTGCTTGTCAGCCAGATGTTTTACAGTAAAAAGGTTATAACTCTTTTTGCATACTGGTTTTGTTTTGTCTGTTGGCTGCCTGCTTCTACAGCGAGATGAGTCCAAACATGCCCAAACCTCAATCGTTAAAACTGTGAGGAAAAATAGGCTTAAGGCAT